TTCTTCAATGAACACGTGCTGTTATTTTTTTTGTGAGTTTATGATACCCACCCATTAATGGTGACATGTTCCAATGCAGAGTTGGTAGGGGGGGTATGTATGCATCCTTCCATCATTGTATACTCTGTGAAATTCTATCACATATATGCTTTAAGGAAGTACATGATTAGTTAATGTCAACTGCTAAAGTAATGCCTACTAAGTTTTTGAAGTATCAAGATACCTGGAAGTGCAGCTTAATTATCAAGGTCTAGCAGGGAGAATCAGTAAATAATGTTAATTCCACCTGAAAATTGGAAGATGAAATTAATATCATATCCTGACTTGTTAACTATGTGCAATAGCAAAACTGTAAGTAGAAAAATTTTATTATTTCAAAGCATGGAAACCTTAAAGACTTGCACCTTGTATGCAATGTTTGAAACAAGGGTTCCTTCATGAAGTATTATTTCCTTCAACTCACCATTTCTACTATCAGGGTAAGCACTTTTGCATCCATAAAGGACATATACCAGCTATGCTCTTGTTGTAAAATTGGTTTCTCAGCTTTGTGTGAATGATTCCAGAGTTGAAAAAGCCCTTCCACTCATGTATGAAGTAATCATTTGCCAACCAAGGACCAGCATTCAGAATTTTATTTACTTTAGTGCCAATTTACCCTTCTATGCGAAAGCAGCACTTCAGCTATCTCTTTATTTGCTTCCTGTTTTCAGTGAGTATTGATCAAGTTTCCCATTTGTTCTTTTTTTTTTTTTTTTTTTGGACTATCCCACCATCTTTCATGGTCTACCCCAGGGGCATATAAATAAAGGGGTTTTCCTTAGTATGTTATCAATTGTACTAGTCTGTAAATTTTCTGATGATATCATCTAGAACCAGTTCATTATTGTCCCCCTGGAGTGATGAGGAGTTAGGAAACATGATAATTGAAGGAAATCATTTGTGAGGGATTTATAGGAATGTGGTATTCAAGAATTTCTGAGCTTTAGGCTCATGCTTTGCCTTTCTGTGGTTTACCGCAGACAACATTGTGGTTGATATGAGATTATAAATCGCAAGGAAAATTTATTCAAATGAATGATTTGGCAGGCTTACTAGTGCTGACTAGTTTTTTTAATTTATTTACAGAATGCCCTTCAGCTAGGTCTAGACATGGCCTACATTTGCTTGTTTTACTTCATACCTCATTTGCCAGATCTCTGGCCTTCTGTTCAATCACACATATGCACATGCTGATATTTTGCTGTCCTGGTATATTTATGCTACCCTGGAGGGTTATAATTAAGGCTGCACACATGCCTTGGATGACTTGGCAAGTCAATGATGAAAAAATATAGATCTCTCTTGCCAGAACCCATTAATATACTGTTATTGTACCTTTCAGATACAGATGTAAACTGCTATTTTTATGCCTTTCATATAAGAGTTTCTTATGGAAGCTCAGTGATTGCTGTGTTAGAATATATTATAATCCTGAGATTCAGGCTAGTTCAAGCCTGTAGAATCTCAGATATTCATTACGAATCAAAGTGAAAATTAATTTCCAAGGTTTCCACTTTGCTCAGAACCTCATTTGACAGGTGGGATTGTATAATTGATGTTTCATTCTTGAGCTACAATGCCAGGGGAAGGGTTGGCACCTGTGAATACCCCCTTCCATTGGCTTGTTGCAGATTTTTTCACTGACTCACTTATCTTCTTGTTCTTGTGACCTTCAGTGTTTGACATCATTAATCACTTCTGTGGTGAAGGGCAAGGAGCTAGTGTTATGCACTTCCACGTTTGAACTGTGTGGTAACCCATAAGTTCAGAAAAATGTACATCTCGGGGTCTTAATTTTCATCTGTCAATATCATGCTGATATGCGTTCCACCACCGAATATAAATGCATGTAAATGTTGTGTTTACAATCCCACCGCGTCTCCCGCCGTATCTTGTCGAATGTCCTTGAAATGCTACTTTTTAAGTTCTGCGTTGCATCCGAAGGAAGCCTCGTCTGCGCCCAAACGCTTGGCACCGCGATTGGATTTCGCGTTCTTTCCCCAAAACTCAAGATGAGAAAAACACAGGCAATCTTGTAAACCGATGAAGAATCGTGTTATCAGATCTCGAGGGAAGAACAACACAGGAAGGAGTCGGACCGCCGCCGCCGCCCCTATCGGGTGACGACAGCTGCATCGTGTCTTGGGAGTTTTCGCATGCCGCCGTGGATTTGTTATTCGTCGCCGAAGGAGGCTTATGAAATCCCGGGGAGCCATCTCGGGTGACTCCCGATGATAATCGCTCTGGGAAAGTGGGCCCGTATTGTTCTTGCGTGCTTGCGGGGTCTCGTCAGAGTTCAGTCGGGTCAAGTGGAGGTCGCGACGGATGTCGGTGTTCCGCGTAGCAGCGTGTCGCAAGTCCGGAGTACTTATTGTTTTGTCTGAGAGAGTGCAACCTGCGGTCAAACTTGAAAGCGATTACTCGTCCTGATACTCGTAATCGTTTAGCCATCAGAAACGATCTGTTTAAGCTAATACGATCCATTCGTTTTCGCATCCTTTCCTTTTGACCGCGTGGAAAGTTCTCGTTACCCAATTATGCATGTTCTAGAGCGAGAAAGGCTCACCCGCAAACAGACACACCCCTTCCTCTCCCTCATGATAGTGACTCCGTCTCGCTTCCGATCTGCAGTCAGCTGAGTGGTGGATACTACGTCTGTTTTCTTTCGTTTCGCAGGGTGTTTATACAACTCGAAGCCTCGGAATTCCCGGTTGATCCCGGCCCAGCCAACGCGTCGTTGGCTCGTGTATCGCTTCGGTCATCTGGGTCCCTCGAATATCCTGTAGTTAAGCGGTTTCGGTGACCGGGTTTTTTTTTTCGCGGATGGGAACATTACTTTTTGTCGTGACCTGATTTCAGAGGGATTGGTTTTCTGCTGTGCGGTTCATCTCATGGACATGTGAGTCTCCTGATAGGACGAGAGCATCTTAGATGTCTTGCACTGCGGTCAACGTAATTTTTCTTGTGGATTCGACTCGCCGATTCGTAATTGCAAATACGATCGCTGCAGTTGTAAATCTCGGGTAAGACTTCGCGAAGATGCCCTCGGGGCGAAGAAACCCAGCTGACGATTTTCAACGAGGATGTGATGTGATTGGATTTGAAAGTGGATCTCGGAATATGACGACGTGGAAGGAGGTCATTTCCCGAATGTAAAAGTGAAGTCGTATACTTTTTTTTGCGGCAGATGCTCATCGAAGCACTACGGAAGGAAAAAAAAGGACCGTGGCAGCCAAAAAAATATGCAGGTTTTTAATTCGCTGTCACATCCTGAGACAAGGAGAACAATGGGGTTTGCATTTACATCCATATTCATTTCCGAGTCAACGCAGCGCGAAAGACGTAGGCTGCGTCTGCTTGAGCGATTGTCAGGCGAGAAGCAGCGATTATGGTAAAAAAAAAAAAATCACTACCGCTATGGTATCATCGAATGAAACCGCGAAATAACTCGTTCGTGTAGAGTCTCTCCCCCCGTAACGCGCGAGCAGACGATCCGACCGCCCTCCGCTTCGTGAGTGGGAAGACGTGCAGTGCGTGAGACGCGTGGTGGCAGGTGCGGAGCTGCAGCGACAGGTGGTGGAGCTCTCGTGGTCCGTTGAATGCACCAATTCTCCAGTCCCACGTGAAATTGGAGTTTTTTTTTCGGTTCTTCGGCGGATCCGAAAATGGCTCGTTCGAAGGGATATGTCCTTTATGCGCAAAAAATGCCCCAAGAAAACATTAATATGCGTAATTAATAAGAGCTAATTAATAAATTTGACTAGGAAGGATCCGTCGACTCCGGTTCCCGTCGCGCTGTGTCATATTTAACTACGCGTTGCGGATACGGAAAATAAAGATTAAAAAACGATTGTCTCAGAACAGTAACCATAAAACTAATTGGCGGTATTAATTGTCGGTACTGTTGGACTTGTCTTCTCCCCTGGGAGTGTGCTTCTTGGGGGGTCTCGAATGCTGATGCGGTTCTTAGCATGAGTCAGGGAAAAAAAAGTATTATCTGGTGTGACCGCAGACTGACGGAAGAAAAAAAATTGTCGGTTGCATCATGACCCTTGAAATGGCCTTAGTCAGAGATCGGAAGGTCGAGTTACTCCGTTCCGATTCATCGATTGACTGGTTTTTTAAACGCAATGAAGAAGTTGCAAAAAAAAAAGTATTTAACTGCAGGCGAGTAAGACGGCAGGAACGATGATTTCGTCACGTTTTCATGAAGATTGACGTGATGAAAAGCATTGTCGTCAGGCGGAGATGACGTTTCCTGCTCTGATCGATCGATGAATGGGTCATAGATTAATCTGTTAAAATCATTTATGCGGAGCAGTATCCACTATAAATACTGGGGTGGGTACTGCAATACTGAATCGCACCAGAAGGAACCCTCGTAGTGCTTCATGGACGATTCTACGCCCATTTCGGTAGGCGATAGAATTTTTTTTTTTTTTGCAATGCTGGTACCTAGGAGCTCGGTGTGAGACCTCGCTCGCCGAAATTGGAGCATTTGTTTTTGCTCTGCGGGGGTTTAATTTTTAATTAACACTTTTCGATACTCTTGTACTGGTCCAGTACCTCCGCAGAAGTGCGCAGTCACCCTGGGCGGAGCTCATTTATCATACTCCACTAGATCTAGATAATTTTTTTATTATAGGACTGCATGTCTTTCTTGGATAGTAAAAGTACTTGGTACTCTGTTTCGATCCTGATACAACTCGTCCATATTTCACTCCGTTTTGTTCCGAAGGTGGCCTTTTTTGATGGGCCTTCAGTGTTTCGTGAAACCGTCAGTAATTTGATGTCGTTTGAAAATCTCCCCATCCCCTGTAAAATCGATATATCTTAATCATAAAATAATTTAATTCTCCGCCTCGCGTCATGACACGCGAGGCCTCGGAATAAGCTTAATCATCCGATCGACCGCACGCATCGTCAGACGCAGTGAATGATGCCTGTGTTCGTGTCCCAGTGAAGGCAGGTCGCAGAGGGATGGGCGGAGGTTCATAGCGCTGCGGCGACCGTCCGTGGCCCCTCGTGACGCCGGATGCACGAACTCCCGTCGACCTCCACGCGCCGTGTGATTTCGCTTCCTCCCTGCCCGTGGCGCGGGGGGACGACGCGATGATTAGGACCCTAAAGGGCTCGAAGTCGCCGGGCGTTTTATGAGTGTTGGGACCCAGGAGTGTGTGGTGTGCGTGACGCCATCTGACAATGTCTTCGGGCGGAAACGCTCGGCGGAATGGTCATAAACCCATGAAGATTCGGCTGACGGGTGAGTCCGATCTCTCTTCCACTTCCTTTTCTCCCGATTTCGTTTCGCAATCTGGGCTTAGGAAAGACTTTTCTCGCTATATATGTTCAGATTAATAGATTTGTTTCAAGAGAGGGAGGAGGATGATGTCTATGAAGACTTTCATGCTTACAGATGAAGTTTAATGGGGATTCAATGCCAGTAGCCCGGATCAGTTTGAGCTATGGGATCGTAATCCCGAAGGACAGTATGACCCACCTCCGCCCGTAACCTACGTGTTATTGTGGAATTTAGACATCTTATAATTGACTGGAACCGATCCGTGCCTCTGTGATGTTCCAGCGGATTACGTTTAGTTCACAGAAAAGGAATTTATTTCAGCAGTGCGTTCTCTTTGTGCCGGAAATGTGGAGCCTCACAAATCCTTCTCCCGAATTTATATCCGCGGCCTTAGAACAAAACCAGTTTGAAATCCCCGTTGAAATCCAGATGGCCACTGGATTTATTTCCGAGGCGACACCGGACAGGTTCGCCGAGATTGAATTCTTCGGGGGTGGGTCTGTGATATATGGCCAGATGGCGCTATAAACTAAAAGGGGTGAGATGGTGAACATCTTCGGTTCGTTCTCGCCGCCTTCCCCCAGAGAAAATTGACGAGGTTCTTTTTTGGGGAGAAGGAACCCCCGCGGTGAGGCGTAGAAGATGAGGATATCTTACAGGATCTTCCTATGACCTTCCCTGTCCGTCCTTTCCCCCTTTATAAAAGATTCCCCCCTTCTCACTTTGCAGTTCTGTGCGCCAAGAACCTGGTGAAGCGAGATCTCTTCCGTGAGTGCCCCGCCTTGCCCCTCTCTCTCCCCTTCGCGGTGGTTTATTTGTACTGAGGGTTTTGTGGTGGGTGTGCAGGGTTGCCGGATCCGTTCGCGAAGGTGAGCGTGGAGGGTTCGGGTCAGTGCCACAGCACCGACACCTGCAAGTCCACGTTGGAACCCAGGTGGAATCAGCACTACGATCTGTAAGCATCCGTGAATCACCTCGTCCTTGAGACCGTGGATCCTGGCCTTTTTTTTTTCCAGCCCCGAAGACATGGGATCCCGTGGTGTTTGTACAAGATCGGGTCGCAGTGACTCGCGAGTGCAGTGTCTAATGCGTTGTTTAACGCATTCTCAGCCAGAGACGATTTATCTCGTCCCGTTTTAGCATTCGCAGGGTGCGAGGGACGAGATATCTCGTCCCCCATGTTTATGCTTTTATATTGCTTCAGCGTCACGCAAAGCTTCTCGATCGCGCTTCAGAACCGATTTTCGTGCCGTGCCAACTAGTGATTGAAACTGAGTGGCGGGGGAAAAAAAAAATTATTTGATAGCAGGCCAAGTTATTGTGTACATACAGGGTGTCCCGTAAGTCACTACCTTTTCAAACTGCAGTATTTTCCAAATTGCAACAAGCAGGTCACTGCTGTTACCATTGCTGAAGAGGACGTTCTTTAGAATTTTGTTCATGATGGCTTGAAATCAGACACAAACGGAAATTGCTTCGAATGAATATTAGAAAGGTGTGCTTGTTTAGGGCGATGTACGGTACACCTTGTTGAATCCTCTTCTACAAAATCGCTAAACTCCCCCCCCCCCCCTCTAATTTCTGATATACTAGAGGGGGGGAAATCATTTTGTTTAATTTGCTTCGTCGTCATAAGAAAAGACTTAGCAATTGACGCTGGAGCAACGAATAAAAGTTCCTACCTGACCTTAATGTGTAGGCCTTTGAAAAAGTCCCATCAGAGTTGAAAGGGATTTCCTGCGATTGTTTTAATGCTAAGCCTCATGCCAAATGTATTCATATTAGTGGAAGGGATTTTAAGGCACTTCCAAAACTCAGAAATAGCTCCATTTTTGACATTTTCCTAATGACATGCAATCATTCAGTTAATGTTATTTCTGCAAACTGATTAGAATATGCGATTTTTGTTTAATGGTGTGATGACTTACTTTGAAGTTGCTAAATGGCCCTGGCAGTTATGATTGGTCCAAAAGTTAATCACTTGGACTCAAAAGGACTGGGTTTGAAATCGGTAATCATTTACTTAGGTATCCCGCTCATTCATTGTTCATAAAAAAAAATTATGGAGCTTGTGGGGAACGTAACGTATGGCCTCGGGAGTTAAATTTGAAATCGGACTCGAAATCAAAGTCAAAATTGCGTTTAAAATTGGATTCGGAATCGGATGCAGATTCTCAGATCCTAAACTGTTATTATAACATCCTTAAAGATACATAACATTTAATGTTGCTATTGCATGCAGAGCGCTTAGGGCCTGCGTGAAAAATGCGTTAGCAGTGAATTCTCGGCATATCCTCTTTCTGTGAATCGTAGTTTTTTTTTTTTTTTTTACGGTCGCACAGATTTTGCCAGAGTTTCGAGGGTAACTTGATATATCCTGGTCGTATCTTGATCACGGAACCGCGAGTGGTGAGAAAGAAAGAAGAAAAAAGGGGGTGGAGTCTTTCCAAGGATTATTTGCCACGCTTCGAGGAGGAAGTGGTGATGATCCCCGATAGGAAATTTTCTCTTGACAGTCTTCATATTTCTTTGCGACAACCCGACGCGTGTTCTCCGGAGATAGTGAGATTTTTTTTTTTTCCTCTCTTTACCCCGACCGTTGCCCTCGAAATGCGACAATGCGACGAATTTTCTGACGTCGCCCGCATGACCCAAAACCGAGTGGAAACCCCGAGCGAACCGCTTAGACTCTGAGCGATCCGCATGCGGGTCTCCGAGCTCATTCGAAAATCGATCCCCGTGTTCGTTCTCGGCGTGTTTACGTTTCCCCCCTCGGTCTTCCCACGATCGCGATGGGAGGGAGGAGGGGGGGGGAGGAGTGGGAAGTGTATCGGGGGGGTGTCATTCGGGGTCGTCTCGTCCTGGTACTGAAACGTGCGGAGGAAAAAATGGGGAAAGAAGAGAAAGCCGGAAGGAGGCCGAGAAGCCGGTTCCCCCCTTTTCCCTCATCCCTGACAATCACGAGAACCATGAGGGTGAGCCGCGGAGGGATAATGAGCGCAGGTGGTAGTTGATGGCTGGTGGATGGCGGGTGGATGGGAGCCACGACCCGCCTCATCCTGCGCTTTCTCAAGGACCGTGCGGAGGAATGCCGGGGAGTTGCCATAAAGAGATATGCCGCCTCCGTTGCTGTCCGTTGGGTTACACGGGCCTCACGAGTTTTCCATAGCGCCTCGAAGAGGGGTGGGGGGTAATCCCTGAGGGATTTCGCACTTCTCGCTATGCAAATAAAAACAACAGAAGGATAAAGCCGAAAGCGTTTTGGGGAGGAACCCCCGCGGGGAAGCATAGAAGATGAATATCTTGCAGAATCTTCGTTTGACCTTCCCTGTCCGTCCATCCCGTAAATCAAGATTTCAGTGTCGGAAACTTTTTTTAAAAGTTTTATTCGCGCTTTGATGTGGCGTGGACTGGTTACGTATGTCGCTTAGCATTGGAATGCTTCAAAATGTACAGCTGTCTCTGGTCGTTGCATAATCACAATATGCAGGTTTTCATTTTGATTAAATGGAATCATGGATTCCGTTTATGGATTTTTCCTTCATGGATTGTTTTTTGTTTCTCCGAGTTAATACTTCTCTCTAGGAGCCGGTGTTGGGTACTAATTGTAACCGCAGCAGTATTTAAGTACTTGATAATCCATATTTTATTAAGAATGGTTGAAAATGCAAAAAACTACTCGTTCAGATTCAGACTTTTCACGATTGCAATCTTTTACATTTCCTCCTTCACAATGCCGACTTTGTTGGCGAAACTTAACACTGTTGACGTCGAAAGCAACGGCTTCGGCCATAACAGGCTCGTGGTGATTGGATTGACATTTTTGCTGCGATTTTCCAGCTGCTAAGCCACGTTCAAGTTGCTACGCTTGAACTAAATGGACTGGAAGTTGGAGAAGTGATTACAAAAGTATTTTTAAAGTATGTAAATATAGTTTTCAGGTTTTAAAGCAGTTTGAACAAATTTTTCATTTAATAACGATTTTTTTGCATCTAAATCGGATTACTTTCCCTTACTTCATTTTCTTCCCTTTAATGTCGTGCATTTCTCGTCTTTCTCATTATCCATTATTTGGGTGGGTACTGGGACCTGGTAGACAATGCCTTGTTCGTACCGATAATAATAAATCAGCCCCACCATCTCCCATGCTTACTGCTCCAGTTCCTGCCAGGTTCTGTGGCCTTTTTTCTGCCTTTTGTCCCGGGCCGTCCCATTCAGGCTGTCAAAGGGCGTTGTCCCACCCATTTCCTTGTCTGGTTCTCCTGATACTGGTCCCCAAAAAAGAAGCGTTAATGATGACGAAAGTAATTAGACCAGTAACGAAGCTAGTGAGACGTGAAATTGAAAACTCTGCACGTGTATGCGGCAGAGACAGAGAGATTGAGCCTTTCCACGACTTTTGCCTGGAAAAAAAATGGTCTTGCCTTCTGACTACAGAGCTACAAAATCAGCCTTGAGGTTAAAAAAAAAAAAAAACAGTTGGTAGATGGGCCGTGAATTAAAACGATAAAATTGAGTAAAATAAAGGAAATGTACACGAGCGAGGAAAAGCGACGAATAGCAGGCACTTCCCCTGGGAGATGCAGAATCTTTTTTTTTTTTAATCCCTTTCCCCGATTGAGAAATGCATAAATCCTCGTCATCAATTATTTTGTTGCAAACAAAACTACGGAGGCCATTGCCTTGAAAGAGTAACAAAAGGCGAGAAAAAAAAGTAAAAAATGCAAAAACTATAATCTTATCTTTTGGCCTCACAGGAAATGATAGGACCCGGCTCATTGTGCTGTTATCTCGGTACCAGGGAAATTGCCGATCGCTGCATTTCGCGATCGTGTAAATCATGCGCAAAACTTCATGTTTTGGGGAGGTGAGATTTTTGAAAAGTGAATGAATATTTAATACTCAGTATCACTTCAAGTAACGATTTGAAGAACAGCATCTAAGAACTGAAATAGGAGTAATTTGATATATATCAGCTGAAAGTAAATTTAAATTATTTGACCCTTTCAGACCTGAATTAAGGCCGCTATCGGAATAATATCCTTTTTGCATTTTTGAGCTTCTTCGTGATTGTAATTGAAATTGTCATGCAAAATTGAAAGCTTTATATGTAGTGTTCATATTTTGTATAAATTTACCATATCATACCATATATTACATATAAATTTAATTAAATAACTGATGAATACAAAACTAATGGGTGAAAGAAAGCCTCTGATAGAACTGAGCCATGCATAAGTGCGCCTATTGTATCGTAATATGAGGTGCAAAGTCACGAGAATCCCAAGAAATTGCCATAGACACAATGTAAGTGCAATGTCCATTGGAATGGATGTCAGGTCTGAAAGGGTTAAAGAGTGGTTTTTGCTTGTCTGGCGGTTTCTTTCTGACGAGAGAAAATGGGAAGAGGGCCAGATTGTATTTTATATTTTTCTCGGTTGGAGTTAGACCGTTAGCAAAAGGCGTGACACTCCCCCCTCGGGAAGTCGGCCAGGAAAAAAATGAATTTAAAAAGTCTGGAACGGTCACGCGGGAGGTGTCGCATCCAAATTGGCGAGACGGCGATCGCGGGCCTGCGTGAAAGGCGTTGCCGAGTCGCTGGGAGGGAGGCAGGGGTTGCAGAGAGGGAGGCAAGGGATGCAGGGAGGGAGGCAAGGGATGCAGGGAGGGAGGCAAGGGTCGCAGGAATGATGACGATAGGAAAATATCGGTGTTGGCAGCCCAGACGAAGCTCGAGAATTTTCATTTCCGGTGCGCGCGTCTGTTTTATTTCATGCGCTTCGAAAAAAAAAACCATGGTCGATGAGAAATGAACCGTTGAGGTATATGGACCAGCGAGCTCGTTGCTCCCAGGGAATCGCCATCGCCTGAGCTCGACGGAACTCGCCGCCTTGGGAACGGTTTCGGTCCTTGGATTCGATACCGGCCTTTCGGTACCGCTGCGCGCGATGACTAAGCTTCGGTTCCAGGACCGGGACTCGAGAAATTGGCGCGCGGTTCTCGTAGGAGCCACGGCCGGGAACGTGACAGAGCAGAAAAGTGCCCTGCACTCAGGGTCTTGAATGAGTGCTCGACGAGAACACCTATCAAAAGAATTAGGTCCGAATGCAGAAACTTCATTTAAGTTAACGGTCTTTAAGAATCTACTGACTCCTTTGGGGGGGAAAGGGCTCTTTAACTTGAAGGCCCCTTTCCCCCCCCCCCGTTATTTCGCCTGAACGAGGTTCAGCATTACGGCTTAAAATTTTAAGAGGTCGCCGTCCTTTTCTTCCGTCATTGATGGGATAAGAAATATCTTTAAAAGTAATTGATTCGGTGCTATTTCCAACCGACTTGAAGTTGCTGGTGGATGTGGATTCGAATTATCGCTTGCTCATCCTTTTTTTTTTTTAAATGCTCAGTCTTTTCAAGGATGATTTACGTTTTCAACTGGAATTTAACATCGGGATGTTCTCGTGGACGGTGTGATTTGCAGGTACCTCGGGAAGAACGATGGCATCACGATCACGGTGTGGAACCACAAGAAGGTGCACAAGAAGGGGAAGGCGGGGTTCCTCGGCTGCGTCCGCATCATGTCCAACGCCATCCATCGCCTCAAAGACACTGGATGTCGGTGCTGCTCTTGGGTTCCTCTGCGTGGGTGGGGTCGGTCGGTTCATCCTTTGTCGTTTTTTTTAGACCAGAGGCTGGACCTGTGCAAGGCCGGGCCGGACGATCCGGACACGGTGAGAGGGCAGATCGTGATCTCTCTTCTCTCGAGGGACTCCGGTCCCGGCTCCGGGAGTCGGAACGTGGTCGTGGATCGTCTCGGGACGCCTAGGGCCACCCAGCATCCCCCTGGAACACAGTCGCCGCTTCATTGGGAGGAGAGACAGACCCCTTTGGGAAGATTGTATTATATCAATCATCACGCCAGGTCATCTAACCGAGACAAGCAAAGGTGCGGTTCTCAGAGAGCTTAGATGTGCTCGGTTGTCCATCTTTCAGAATCATTTGATCGTTGAGTGGTGAAACACCATCCCAGGATATGAATATTTTCAGTCAATTGCATCTGATGCGAGGTCGATTCACAAGTTTAAATCAAAAGTTTACTTACGTGCCATATATATACCTCAGAGTGAATAATAATAGCCAATATTTACAGAGTTTTATTTGAAGCAATTGGGACATGATCAACTGTAGTTTAAAAAGTGTGAATGTATATTCGTTGTGAAATGGCAGGATTGAGGTAGTTGGTTGATTGAACCTGGATGGTGACGAGAATTCCTTCCCTTTCCAGCACCCCTTGCCGGCCAGTGAACGAGGTGAGTTCATCTCAGGAGCCAAGACAAGAAGTGCCTTCTCCGGATCAACAGGGACCCAGTCGAGCGGTAGCCGTCCAGAGGAGACACCGGAGCGTGTCCCGCGAGAGGCCTTCCCAGACGAGGTTCGCCATTCTTAGCCCTCACCATGTCTGTCTTGATTGTCTGATGGCCAATATGCTATGGTATCCAGGGAAAGAGGGAGGCGAAACCGGGAGCATCGGGCATCAGTGGCTGTGATGGAGCGAGGTAGGAGCCGGGAGAGGCGGGAGCGCGACAGGGATAGGGACAGGAGACAGGAGGAAGGCAGGGAAGGACAAGAACAGGAATCGCCTCCGGTTGCCTTGGGGGAGCTGTCTGCAGCTGCCCCACAAGAAATCTCTCCCTCGCGGCGGAGGACTCGGGATGCCTCCCGAGGAACCCCGGTCCCCCAGCCTGCCGATCTTCCTCGGGGATATGGTCTGTTCACTAGTGCTCCAAAGGCCTGCATGCTCATGTTTCTTGTCGGATTTCACTTTTTACCGGATTTATTGCATCGTGTGAGATGCTTTTCTTTCAACTGTTTTATTCACATGTTTCTTGGGTCTCATGAGTTGATTTCCTCTCATGGGGGTTTTTGCCTTCATTTTTACGTAAGGCACACACATGCACTGCATCGCTTTTTCTGAATATGAAGAATATATTCCTAAGCTGGAATATGTTGCGACTGATAGCCTGATGTGGGTAGAGAGGGACCAAATACTGATATGAAAATCTGATCTTTCATACCCTACCTGAGTTTCATTGACCTAAATTGATAGGTTGGAGGGGGAGGAGGGGAGGAAATACTGATAAGAGCAAAGCTGTTACTCTCAGTGCAAACTTTAAACTATAAAAAATATAATTGTTCAGCCTCATTTGATGTAATATCCAAATGCACAAAGTCTTTTATATATTTAACCTATTTTGTGTGGTCTTGACATGCATTCTCTGTGCTTTCAATGCTTCTTCTGTGCTGCTATGCCCATTGGCATAACTGACTTCTTGGATAGAAGTATAGAGTAAAAATGGCAACTCTTTTGTATAAAGAGTGACAAAAATTCAGTAGATAAAAAGGAAACCACCAGAAAAAGATTATGCTTAGACCAGAGGTTTATTGATGTCCATGTTTACTGAGGTTCATTTTCCTTGCAGAGATGAGGAAAACAATGCAGGGTCAGATCTACTTCTACCACCAAGCAACAGGGGTGAGCACATGGCACGATCCGAGGATCCCGCGTCACCTGTTGCATCATGCACCCCAGGACCTGGGTCCCCTGCCGAACGGCTGGGAGATGCGGCAGACCGGGTCCGGGAGGCCGTATTTTGTCGATCACAACAACCGGACCACGCAGTTCACTGACCCCCGTCTTTCAAATCCTCAGATTCTCACTTCCCTTTTGAGGTTGGTTTATAAAACATAAACTTTTGCTACACTTTTTACCCTATTTGAGACAAGAAGATTGAGATGGATAGAGTCATGCATTCCTTTATCTTTGATACATGATGTAAGGGACACAGCATATGAAGCAAAAGAAATTCTTCCCATTTTGATAATATTTTCTTCAGTCTCTTTCAAAAAAATCTTAGATTAAAATATAATGCAATGATTTATTTTGGCATGCATTCATTCCAGCTCGACCGAAGGAAGGCAGTCGTTGCCGACGGGTGAATCCCTGCAGGACTCGAGTGCGAATCCCAGTGAATCGCTTCCAAGTGAAACGCATAGACCGGTCATGGTCGAAGTTATTGTGAACAACGGTGTCTCCAACGAAAACGCAAGTGAAGTGTCGGACCGAAACCGGTCGCTCCTCGCCGAGCTTGGTCTTGGCAGTTCGGCGGAGAAGGAGGAGATGCTGCCCAAGTATAAGCGGGACCTTGTGCATAAAATCAAGGCATTGAGGGCAGAACTCCAAGCCTTGCAGCCTCAGAGCGGCCACTGCCGACTCGAGGTCTCCAGGGCCGAGATCTTTGAGGTCAGTTCTCAACCTTGATCTTTTATGTTGACATTGATCTTTGTCTCTTCCTTAACATTGTTCAAAGTGACCATGACAAAGTACCCTGTCCAGACTCCTTCATTCAGTTGTCTTTTTTTCAGGGCTGTCAATTTGATTAATTTAATCGATCGATTAATTGCATAAATAAATAAAGATAAATTATTATTGCATTATAAAATAATACGGGGAAAAAGAGGAAAATTCAGGGAGAGATTAGGGGGTCTATTAAAATTAGATCAATTTCGACAAATTTTTTAAATCATGATTAATGATTTAATAGGTTAATCAATCAATTAAATTAATTGAGTTGACTTCCCTACTTTTTTGTGATATAGTTGTTCATGTTGGTACTGTATTCATGCTGTTATAATTTTGTACACCCCAGAGTAGATCTTTGGTAGATAGTGCTTTCATGACAGTACTAGGAAATCTCATGAGTTGACATGCTCTCCTCACTAGGGGCACACAGAAATCTTAATTCTTTTGTTTTTATAATGATAGTTTTCCAAAAATTTACCCATTCAGGAGACTGCCATGGGATGCAGTATGTCATATATTGCATTTCCAATTTCTGTGCTATAATCTGTCATATACAAGTGTGCATGCATTTTTTTAAATATCTGTCCTAGCATGCTAATGCCAGTGCATTTAATTGCTAGAGAGCTAAAGGGGGGAAAATGTTGCCTTTCACCCTCATAGAACATAGATTGGGCATGCAAAATCAAAATATTCTAATTGTACCCAAATTTTCAATCTAATTGCAAGGAAATTTCACCTTTGAAAATTGTTCCTGCACAAGAAAGGCATAGGCATGAGGAAGGTACATGAGTAAACGTGAGACTCCACACTAAAAATAATTTGAAAATCCCTTTGGCATAAAATTCTTTATTTAAATGGTCCTACATAAGTTGTGTTATAAACACTTTTGCAAAAAGTCTAAAGCTGAATGCAGAGGCAATGTCAGTCCATTGCAATAATTTGATCAGTACCCAAATGGCAGTGATTCTCTGTCATCTTTACTGATACATTTGACTGAATTTGAACATTGAGTTCACACTGTCATTCCAAAATGTGTAATACAAAAATTTTGGCATTACCCCCTCAATGTGCTTAAATCCAGTCATCTTTGTTGAGTTGAATGATGTGAAGCCTGCTAACATGGAATGGGCTCAAAGGGCACATTTTCACAAGGAGAATGCTTTTGGGATGAGAGCCTGATTATGTGCCATCAGTTGGTCAGCACTGTAGCAGCATGCATAGGAGGTTGTGGTAAGATCAAATGCATGCAGCAGTGCTGTTAGTGGAATGCTACAAGGACAGTTAAACTGAGTACTATATTTTATTATCTATATTCATTTTTAAAATTCAATTTTGCATTTTGTGTAATTGTTTTGATGAGATAAACCTTTATGTCCCTGCAGCTTCTCAAAGGAATTTTAGCCTGATTTGGTAATCTCACAATTTGATGTGCCGATTTGATTGCCGAACAGGAGTCGTATCGAGGGCTGATGAAGCTGAGGCCGAAGGATCTCCGCAAGCGGTTGATGGTGAGATTCCGCGGGGAAGAGGGCCTGGATTACGGAGGCTTGGCACGGGAATGGCTCCACCTCCTCTCCAGACAAATGCTCAATCCAGCTTATGGTCTCTTCCAGTATGCACAAGATGATGGATGTGCTCTTCAGATCAACCCAGATTCCAGCATAAATCCAGTAAGCACCTCTTCAGCTTGATAACTCTCTGGCTCAGATGAGTACCATGGACATCTGTTGTGTCCTGCCATTATATATATTCATTCCCATGTTGATTTTGCTCGTTGGGGAGTGTTTGGCAGGAAGTAGTTGTCATAACTACTGTAAATAGGGAGAGAGAATTTGACTGACTGTTACCATTTGTGAAGAAGTCTTTCCTAAAGGAATAGCTGGCTGTTTTGAGGCATTTCTTTACCAAACCAAGTTGAGTTTCATTGGAGGCAAGCACTTGCACCAATACACCTTGCTGCATTGACTGCATTACTTTCAGGAAACTGCAAAAAGGGATTTAACTACTTCAAATCAGGTCAAATTTTTCCCATTGAGTACTGAAGAACCTGACTTTGAAGGGTCCAACATCAAGATATATCCAATGGAAGAATCTTTGTTTGCTGTATTTCTCCAGTCTTTTTTTTTAAATATTTATTACTGCTTCTATCCCTGGTCAGTGATACCAAATCAAGGATGGAAGTAAAGTAATAAGTTTTCCAACCCCAGAAAGGACCAGGTGGTATGAACTCTCAATGGGTGCCATTTCTTATAGTGTGTGAAAGCCTTGCTCTGAGACCTGTTTTTTTGGAAGCAGGAGAGGAAGTGGGAATAATGAAGTATGAGACTTTTGATGCTCTTTGTGAATTAAGGAGTGATGCTTTCTGTGGCTGGACAAACTATACATGAAAGTCATGGTTTCTGCTTTCAGATTTATAATTATCTAAAAAAAAAATTAACAAGTGCAGGTATGGTATAGGATTGGAAATGTTTGTTTGCAGATGTCAGTATTTTTCTCATCATCCAGGAAGCACATTTAAGAGTGGCACCAGGGATGAATGAAACATTGTGCAATCTAGGTTTTTTACTGTGACTAAGATGATGCTTGTAATTCCAGGATCACCTTTCATACTTCCACTTTGTGGGGAGAGTGTTGGGGCTGGCCCTGTTCCATGGACTCCACCTGGATGGGTCTCCCTTCACCAGTGCCTTCTATCGCAAGCTGCTTGGGAAACCCGTCTCCCTCGGGGACATAGCCGACGTCGACCCTGAGCTCCATCGTAGTCTCACGTGGATCCTGTCAGTTGTTGTCCTTGTTCTTAAAAAAAAAATTTATATCTGAAAATGTCAGTAATGGCTCTTATATTTCTCATTTGTTGCTTTCAGGGAGAATGATATTACAGGAGTGATAGAAAACACGTTTGCAGTGGAGCACTGTGCCTTCGGGAAGCTAACAATCCGGGAATTCAAATCAAATGGAAGGAATATTCCTGTCACTGAAGAGAACAAAAAGGAATATGTTCAGTGAGTTTTCCTCATCTTAGTGTCATTGTTCAATGTGCTATAATATTATAAGTAGAGATGCAACGATATTGAATTTTGGCCGATATCCGATATACCGATAATTCCGATATTAGAAAAGAACCGATACCAATACCGATAACCAATACCGATATCTATATATACATTTATATTTGCACATTCAGGGTAGATTTTGAACAGTGAACTATCTGATAACACTGCTTTATTTCCAGGAAATATGGGTTTACCCCAGAATAAAGCTGCATTATCAGATTGTTCTCTGTTCAAAAATCCACCCTCAGGCATTAACCCCTCCACTTTTAAGTTTTATTTGGGGCCAGGTCTGATGGGGAAAGCTTGAGGTGCACCAGTGGTGCACCTCATGCTTTTGCCATTTCTCCAATAGTTGAGAATAAATGTTTTCTTCATGCTGAAGCCAGGCTCCTCAATGTGGATTTTTTAAATATTACATTGGATTTGCATCAGGCATTTTATTTCCTATGCTCCATCCTGGAACTTGCAATAAGGTGGAATAGCAATTCTTTTCTTTCTTTTTTCAAAATAGCACTCAGTTCAGAAAATGTCAAGAATGTCAAAGTTCCCTCCTTCATACCTCTAATGGACACCCAGACAGACATGACTGACAAATTGTTAACACATCAGGTAATTTGCCATGAAGATGAAATGCGAACATAACTGCTTTTCAGGAAAATTTCTAAGCAATCAATCATATTTCTTATATTACAGAAGTTTTTATCTACAAAGATATTTATGTAATGCATTATATTATAAACTAGCGAGTTTGTTTGCCCTTCGGGCAAACAAACTCGCTATGGTCGCGCCTTCGGCGCTCTATTACCTTGGATAGTGATTATTTCATTTATTCTTTTCGAAATAGCAAACACGTATTTGAAGTACATCCCCATTGAAATATGTGACATATGGAGTCGAAAGTCTTGATTTTTATCAAAATCATTACCTCTATGATTATATGTGTGCCTAACCTGAAATCTTTCCTTGTGTCCCTTTTTCTAAGGGTGGAGTATACATTTTGAAATACTTCCCTCCAACAATCGACGCTAAGGAGACATATTTCAAAATTAGGATTTTTCCTCTACTCAGCGATCAAATAGGTACTTCTGAAAGTAGTTTAAATATTCTGCCTCTGGATAAAAAAAAATGAGGAAAATGGGACTGCCAAATGTTGTCTAATGGGCTTTAAATAATTTTTTTTTTCTTTTGAAATGTAGATTCAGGGAACTCCATGCCACCCAGTTTCAGCCT